TGTAAAACATTTTAATTCAGTTCCCAGACAAGAGAGGCCAACTCTTCAGTGGTCACAGATGTCACTCTTTTAGGGCCAGAATTGGCATTAAATTGTAAAAATACTGTAAAACTAGTGACTTTTGTCATTGTTAAGTGCAGGAACTAGTGTTTGGGGACTGTAAAACTATGAAAGAGTTGACAGTGAAGATTGAGACTTTTTATCAAAGTCTTTATTTTATTGAACGGTTGTGATATTGGTACTGTGATGCTACTCGAACTAGACTATGATTCAATATTGAAATTTACCATCCAACTTTTTGGATTAGTAGTTAAGAAGGCTTAAGAAGATATGTAAGGTTTGGGTTCGAATCCTATTAATCTTTTTTTTTCATATGTGTCAAAAAAAATATGGAAATTTGTAAGTATATTTTAATTATTGAAATTTTCTTACAATACTTTTAAATTTATTGATTTTTTAACAAAGAGTATTGGAATCGAAATATTTCACAAAATATTATGTTAATAAAAATGACAAATTTTCACTGTATTTTTAATTTCATTGATTTTATAATGAAAAATAATGGATTTGAAATGTTTTATTAAATATTCTGTTAATATAAATGATAAATTGTCATCAATTTTATTACTTTATGTCCAAGAATGAACAACATTGAACCTTAATTATCTGTAAAGCATTATTTATTTACATTTTGGGTAACACCCATGTGTTTTTTTCATTACTTTGTTTGGATTTTTTTTTGTTTTGGATACTTTAAAACTATTTCATTTTTTTTAACACTTTATACTCCTTTTTAAATATATTTTAAACCCATGTTTTTGTATTCAATCTTACATTTTCTAAAAATAAATATATTTTACAATTTTTTTCTATTTCTTTCTTTTTTCCTTTTTTTTACCCTGTTATCTTTCCCTTTTCTTCTAGTTTATTTTCCTCTACTTTTCCTTGTTTTCAATTTAATGGCACTTTGTAGTTATTCTTTCATAAAACAAAGTTACTATAAGAAATTTTTTATTTTTTATAATCTTTTGAATTATGACTCATAATTATTTTTGTTATTTATTAGTGATTGGTCGTTGGTTATGAAATTAGATTTTTTATAATTTTTTATAATTTATAAAAAATATTGTTAGGAAAAGGTTCTAAAATTTTGAGGTCTTAGTTTTAAGTTTCACTTTATGTGAGTTTGATTGGTTTGTTTAGTTATCTTCTAGTTTGTTACTTGATTATAAAATTATTGTAACTTAATTATGATGTAATAATTGATTATTTAATTGATTATATAAATGTAATATTTAATTATGATAGTAATTTCTCAAAAAAATATAATATTGTTATATATCCTAAGATATAAATTAGTTTACATATTTTTTTTATTAACTAGCACTCATATAGAAAAGTGCCAACAAAAATACATTGATGAAATGTAGAAGAAAAGATAAAATTGAAAAGTAAATAATATAATATAAAGGAATAGTAATAAAATAAACCCTAAAATATCTCTAAAATAAAAATAAGCTCTCGATATTTTATTGGACATAATTAGACTAAAAAAACTTTTATATTAGTCTAATGAAACCCTTGCTGTTACAAAATATTCCATATTCCCAAGGGCGGGCATGTTAGTTCCAAGACTTGCAAATTATGAATTTTAAAGTTGATGATAATTTTTCATATGTATTTTCTGTTGTAATCTTTCTTTTCAAGCCTTGGTTGATTTTAAAATGAAACTTCCAAAGAATATATGAACTGACTTCAAGGTGTGTTGTAAATGTCACTTTTCTTAAAAATTTATTTCATCCCTATCAATTACAATTTGCAAAATAAATTGTATCGAATAATCTCTAAGATACAATAATGAGGTTAATGTTTAATCTACTTTGTACTAAAAAATTCAAATTATTAAAATCTCCTTGATGAGAGACAAATATTTTGTCTTTGACAAGATTTCTTGCAATAAAATAATGTCAAATAAATAATCCTTTGTCTTGAAAGCATGGAGGAAAGATAAAAGAATATTTGATTATTCAATCCTATGAACTCTTTCCATCAACTTCTCAAATGAACACTTACAATTTTTATTTATAGAGATTAAATTCAAAGATTGTGTCTATTTGGTTGTGTTGTTTCAATAAAAAAGCACGTCAAAGATACTTTTTTTAACAATTATGGGACATATTAGTTCATTTGAATAATCATACTTTTCATTTTAAAAGAAATCATTTCTTACGTTTAAAAAATATGACTTTTTAAACTAGGGTAGTCGACTCCCATATAATGGCATCCGATTGCCTTAGTATAATTTTATAATAAAACACTCTTTGCTGATAAGGTTGTGGAATGCCCAAGAGTATTTTTATAACAAAATGATTTTTTATTTCCTTGAAAGCTACGGCAATCAACTCCTCTGTATGGGCAGTCGTCTTCCCCTTAACAAAGCTCAATTCTAGCTTTGTTCTACTTGATTTCTTATATCTTTAATTAAGTGTATTGCTTAAACTCAGTTTTATTATTTTGAAAATAATTTCCAATGTTCCCTCACCTATTTTCAAAATTGGGCAAGTTTTGATATTTTAAAAAATCTTTATATAGATGAAAATATTATATGATATGATTTTAAAATCTCCACTTTAGTGATAAAATTGTTATTGAGTTAGTCAAATTGAATTATAGATTTTAGATCTTTGAATCAAAACAATTTATGTGACTTCATTGTCTCATCAAAATATTATTTAGTAATGTTGTGACACAATTCCAATGATTATGTGTTCTTTTTATTCATACATAAAATGCATATATGACAATATGACATGAATTAAATGATGCATGTAATTATATTATTTTCTAAATAGGTTTTACTTGGATGAAAATGATATTTTTGGTATTAGAAATATTTTCATTTATATTTTCTAACTCCTCAATATCTAGGTAAAATTAAAAAAAAACTTGATCTTTCACTTGAGTGATTCACATAAATATTTTTTAAAACAAAAGACAAGATTCTTTTGCAAAAATAATTATTTGAATTATCTTCAATATTTAGATAGGATTTTTAAAATTATATTTTTACATGAAAATATTATTTTATTTTTATTTCTAAAACCTCTTTCCTTAGTCATCCACAACAAATTTATTTTAAAAAATATTTGATACTAAATAAAAATTAAAAATGTATGATAACAAAGTAAAATAAAATAGGAAAAGATTGTACTAAACAAATTTCTTGGGGTTAAACTCTAGGTGGATCAAAGCAAGAGGTTTGGCCAAATCTAATGGACTTTTAAGTCAAGCTCAATTTGGGTTAGGTCGGTTGAAAATGGGTCAAGAGTTTTTTTTTTAATTTATATATTTTTTATTTTCTTAAAACGACAATTAAAACCAACATTTTTTGCCTATTCATTTCCCTACTTTCACCAAAATAAAAAAATTTAAAGCCTTTCTTTTAAGACGATTTTCGATCATCGACACCACCGTCCAATGTCATTTTTTCCCAAATTTTCACTACAAGCTCTCTTTAACTTTCTGATCACCATTGCAAGATCGAATTTTCCAAAATCAACTCTCAAAACCGTAGATTTGAGAGTGAAACTTAAAACTTCTAGTGGTTAAAAATATCATTTGCCATTGTCCAAATTGCCTGAAACCTAGATAGGTACTATTTTCTTCCTCTTCTTCCTTTCTATAGTTTTGATTTCCCTAAACTCACCTTACATATTCAACTGCCATCCTTGTTGTCACTGATAGTGGCATTTCTTCTTATTTTTTTTCTAACCTAAACTTAAAAAGAACCCTCCTAAAATGAAACTCTTTCAAAATCGAAAATAAACCTAAACTTATAACCCATTCCCATTTTTAGATTTTGATATTTTTGTTGTTGTTTCATATTTTTTGTTGTTGTTATTTTGGTTTTAATTTTTTTTGTTATGTAATGATTGTGCTGGGTTTATTTATGTTAGGGTATTCGAGGATGTTTTGAGTCAATAGGTTGGGGCTATAAAAGTTGTGAGTGATGATTTATTTTATGATAAGTTGACTCACGGTGGTAGGAAGGGCTTTTATGATAGAGCCTAAAGGGTGTAATGGCAATTTGGTGTACTGATGATAGAGTTTGGGTTTGGGGTCTCAATTGGAAGTATGAGTGGGTTTTTGTGAATTGAGTTGCTGATATGTTTGGGATAGTAAGGTTGGTTGCCGTTAGCCAAAAGGCAATATATACATATCTTCCTCTCTAAACGTCCATATCCTAAAAACATAACATACATATCCTAATTCAATATATACATATCACTTGTCTTCAAAATCTACACCTTATAAATTATAAATATTTACCTTTTATTTATTTTCTAATTAATTGAGAACAACTTTATCAAAAAACCAAGCCAAATATGCACACTTGCCTTTTTATTATTTTGTCCTTTTTTTATTTGTAATTTCTTTTTCTTTTAAAAAGTTATTAAAAACATAAAAACACCGTTGAAACTAATATATCAAAAAGATCATTCTAAATATGATATCTAAAACCATTGAAAATAATATAAATAATAATTTAACATAAAACAATTAAAATCATGATATTTTTCAAATCCATTTGCAGAATCAACATAAATAATAATTTAACAATAAAATCAAATACACATAATGAAGAGTGATATAAAAGACAGAGGAAAGAGACACTAACTTTAATAAGCTGATGCAATTTAAATAGAGAAAAATTGATGAAAACAAAAACTTTAAACCCTTCAATTTCAATCTTGTATAGATAGAACAGTTGAAAAGAGAAGGAAATTGAAAAGCAAAATAAATAAATTGGACGAAGAGTAAAGGAAGAGGATGGACAAAAGGTAAGAAAGATAAACGGACGTAAAATGTTTATGTTCTTAAGAGAAAGAAATTTTCACGTTAGAGAAGTAAGAAAAAATAAAGAGACTTTATTTTTTTTATTTGATTAATAAAGGTAATACAGTAATTTTAATTTTCTTATTATCAAATTCAAATTCGGTAATTTTCTTTTGAGTAGTTTTTTTATTAGATCAAAATGTTAATATTCTTATTATATATTTTAAATCCCCTGTTTTCTTAAGTTCGACTTGAATATGGTAAAACATTTTTCAATAAAAAATAACATTTAAGTTGCCGATTCTTGTGGGTAAATCAAACTGGGTCGGGTTTTGAAATTAGTCGGGTTACGGCGGGTTGGTTTTTCCAATTTCAGAAAAACCCTGGATTTCGATTTCTTGTGGTTTGGGGAGTTCCTTCTGCGGCTGCTTAAACTCAACAAAAAATGGCTAAAATCCCTCTGAGAAATCTGCTCTCTCTAACCCAAAAACGCTTCCTTCAACGGAACCCAGCCCCTTCTTCTGCTTCAAAACCGCCTCCTTTAAAATCCGCTCTTTCACCCTTCCCAAAAAGCTCTCCAAATTCCAAGTCCGTCCTCAACTGTTTGAAATCTTATGGATTCGAGAATACCCAAATCGCCATATTGGTTCAAAAACACCCTAAAATCCTCAATTGCAGAGTTAACACAAAGCTCAAGCCCAAGCTTGAATATCTCATCCAAAAGGGTTTTATGGGTAAGCTTTTGCCTGAACTCGTTGTGTCGAATCCTTTGATTCTCCTTCGAAGCTTGGATTCTCTTATCAAGTCATCTTTTGAGTTTTTATCCCCTTTTCTGAATGGTGAGGAACTGTTGGTTGCTATTAAACGATCTTCGTGGTTAGTGACTTTAAATTGGAATACTGTTTTACAACCAAATGTTGATTTTCTGATTAGAGAAGGGATTTCTGCTAGTAGGATATCGAAATTGTTGGTATCACAGCCTAGAGCTCTCTTGCAAAGCCATGACAGAATAGTTTACGCGGTTAAAACTGTTAAAGAAATAGGTCTTGAACCAAAACAGCTTAGGTTTATACATGCTCTTAGGGTGATTTGTTCGATGAGCAAGTCGAATTGGACGAAAAAAGTGGAGGCTTTTATGAGTTTGGGATGGAGTAAGGAGGAAGTGTTGAATAATTTTAGGAAAGATCCTGTGTGTTTAACTTGTTCTGAGAAAAAACTTAGGTATTTGATGGATTTTTATGTGAATACTATGAAGCTGGATTTAAAGACTATCATTGCATACCCGAAATTGCTTCATTATTCAGTCGATAAAAGGATTATTGCGAGGTATAAAGTTTTGAAGGTTTTGGAGGCGATGAAGCTGATCAAAGATGACAAGAAGATTGTTTGGGTGATAGCAATGACTGAAAAGAAATTTTTGAAGGAATATATTACTAAGCATAAGGACAAAGTTCCAGGTTTGTTGGATATGTACCAGCATGCGGCTAAGCAAAGAAAAACAACCAAAGGCAAGAACGAAAAATTGGATCCCAAATCAGCAAGTTTGACCCCTGTAATGTAGATCATAATCTACCTAGACATTCCTTTTGACTGGTTCCTAATGTACTATGGTGCTGTCAGTTTGATCGCTTAATATCATCTCTGTGGCCATTAGCTTTTTATTTTTCTTGATAGTAGTTTGCATATGGTCATTTTATTTTGTTTTTTGATTATAATCCATCTACAGGCAACTCTTTGCTTTATTTTAAAATCTTGCTTTGAGTGGAATTCCTTTGGGTAATCCTTGATAGATTGAAAAACTCATAATAGTTAGCTTCATATCTTACTGGGATTGAGATGAATTATGTTTAGGAATTGGAACTTTTATTTTGAGATAACTTAGGTCTTGTTTAGCTTCATAGTATTTCTCACTTTTGCAAATTTTCATTCTTTACTCTTAAAGTGTCTTTTGTTGAGATACATATTCGTTTTTCATTTTTCAGTGTCGGTAGCCTGCGATTTCCAGTTTTCTAGCAGATTGGGAAACTCTTAACCAAATGATTCCAGTTCTTCTTCCTGAAAGAAATGGAAAAGATCCATCTTTTTATTCTTATAAGTGGTGTCAGATCGAAAATCTTAATCTCCTCTGTACTATTTATTAAAATGACTCGTCTTCTGTACTAAGTAGTGACTGTATTGTTGCTCTGTCTTGAAATTTAAGACAGGGAAAGACAAGTCTAGTGTTTCCATCGCTTGAAAATCCTGGATGTTAAATGGAACTAACTGGATTCCCCCTGTTCAACGAGCAAATCAGCTATGTCCGTGAAGCAAGCTGTTTTTACTTATTATATGCTCTGGTTGTCTGCACTTCAGGCCTTTTGAAGTTGTTTTTCTCTATTTTTATCACTTACCTTCTAGTTTTATGAAGTTTTTCTAGAGATGCTTCATCTTTCTTTGATTAATCTCCAGAGATGTTTTGTTTTTTATCATTCTAATATTTTATTATTGGGTTTTGTATCCAAAGGAGCGAATCATTTTCTTTTCTTTTTTTTTTTTTGAAATAAAAACCAAACAAATAGAATCTAAGTAATTAATTGAAACAAGAGAAACTTTGTTGCTATTTAAGCTATTGTTTTCTTCTTGGTGTGCCTTTGTTAATATATTAGTTTCAGATGGCCCAGCTGGAAATGAATTAATGTTGTAAAACATTTTAATTCCGTTCCCAGACAACAGATGTCACTCTTTCAGGGCCAGAATTGGCGTTACCTTGTAAAAGCACTGTAAAACTAGTGACTTTTGGCCTTGTTAAGTGCAGGCACTGGTGTTTGGCTGCTCTAGGAAAAATACTGTAAAACTATGAAAGAATTGACAGTGAAGATTGAGATTTTTGAGCGAAGGCTTTATTTTATTGAACAGTGGTGATTTTGGAGCCGGGATGCTAGCCAAACTAGACCAGACGAGACCAGGTTAGGTGTCATGAGCCAACCTTGTATAGGGTCATGATCGGGACTTAGGTTGCCATGAGCCAACCATGTATAGGGTCATGGCCGGGTAGATCCCTTGTGCTAGGAAAAATGTCTCCATTTTAAACATTGTAATGGTTAGTGGTAGCATAGCTCTAAAATCTCTAAGGCTCTTTAGGAGGGGTGAGTCGACAGCGTAATGTAGGGCTGTCTCACCGGTTGCTATGCGGGCCTAGGCCATCCACCAAAGGCTGCCCCCCTGGCCCTGGTGATGGTGGGAAGTCCCGATGTATGATTCTCGATTATAATAAAATTCACCCCGATTGAATGTCCCGAATGTTACCTCGACGTGTTTTTTTTTTCTCGATGTGAATGTGCCTTCTTGTGTGTGCGCTTGCGATTGATCTCGATATATTGTGTCTTATTGTGAATGCTTGGGACTAACCATCGCTTATGGTTATTTGTTCAGATATCGATCTATTGAAGGCTGACTTGGGTGGGAGCGTCCATTCAAGTGCCGCACGGTCTATTACTTTTTTGAGAGAAAGCTTAGTCCGTGACACGTGGTATCAGAGCACGGTTGAGAAGTGCTAGAAAATGGATGAGATGGCCACAAGTGGTGGACCCAATCATCAACAGAGAATTGAGGAACTTGAGGTCGCGGTGGCCGCAATGAAAACTCATATGACGACTAAAGATCGAGTGAGGGAGATCGAGACAACCCAGCGGGAGTTGTCCGATACTCTCCACAACGTGAGCGAAGAGGCTAGAGATGCCTTGAATATTCTCCAAAAGGAGTTTGAGAAACTCAAAGCACAGGTGAGCATCTTACAAATGGCTGTGGCTAGATCGGGTTCGCGTTCGATGGAAAGGGGAAAAAGACCCAATGTGCCGGAGCTTCGATGCTAAGGAATTTGAAAATTTCTTGTTTAACATGGAGTAGTACTTTCGAGCCGTACACACATTCAGAGGAAGACAAGGTAGCAATGGCATCGATGTACCTCATAGGAGATGTCAAGCTATGGTGGCGCTCCAAGTTTGTCAATGACGAGTGCCCGATTAAGACTTGGACGGACCTGAAGCAAGAACTGAAAAACCAGTTTTTTCCTGAGAATGTGGAGTATATGGCTTGAAAGAGACTTCGAGAATTGGTGCAAATAGGAACAGTGCGAGAGTTTGTAAGGAGCTTTTTTATCCTGATGTTGGATATTTGAGACATGTTCGAAAAGGACAAGATGTTTTATTTTCTTGAAGGCTTCAAGCTTTGGGCCAGGACAGAACTACAAAGACAGAAAGTGCAAGACGTGGCCACGGCCATGGCTGCAGCTGAATGTCTCTACGATTATAATGATGTCTCTTCAAAACAAAAAAATCCTCCATCAGCTGGCAGTAGCTTCAACTTTAGGAGTGAGAGAAAGATGACTAGGTTGGATCGACCCTTCAGTGGGGGATCAGACAGGAGGTCCTTTGATCGAGATAGAACCCAACCCAAGACAAGCAACGCAGTGATTTTTAAGTCTAGGCAACTGCTAGCTTGCTTTTTTTGCAAGGGGTCACATCGGGTGATCGAATGCCCACACAGAGAAGCCCTTAATGCCTTAAGAACCTCATCTTAAGAGTCCGTAAAAACATCAGAGAGCGTTGAAGAAGTTGAAGAGGAGCCAGCCATGATGGGTTCGATAAGGTTTCTCAATGCCCTCCATACCCAACTGAACACTATAAAGAAAGAGCAGAGTAGAGGGTTGATGTATGTGAACTTAATGATCAATGAGAAGGCCATCAAGGTCATGGTGGATATGAGTGCAACTGATACTTTCATTACACCAGAAGAAGCAAAAAGGTGTGGTCTCCAGATTAGCAAAGACTGTGGACGAATGAAGGCGGTCAATTCGTCAGCCTTTGTGAGCAGTGGAAGCTTCAAGAGTGTGACAACCAAATTGGGGCCATGGGAAGGGAATGTAGACTTTACAGTTTCTCCTATGGATGACTTTGATGTCGTTCTTGGATTGGACTTCATGATGTTGGCTCAGGTGATCCCTATCCCCGCTGCTAGCTGTTTGTTGTTCTTAGGGGAACACCCATGTGTGGTGCCAGCCAATATCTTGCCAAAGAGTGAGAAAAAATGATTTCAGTTTTACAGTTCAAGAAAGGGATAAAGAGAGGGGAACCTTCATTTGTGGCTATCTCGATCTACAAAGAAGGGTCAGAAGTGGAACCAATATTCGATGGTGTGAAAAAGGTGTTGGAAGAATTCGAAGAGGTGATGTCAGAGATGTTGCCTAAGGTTTTACCCCTTCGACGAGCAGTGGACCATGAAATTGAGCTCCTCCCAAGAGCGAAACCCCCTGCTAGAGCCCTTTACAGCATGGTCCTGCCAGAGTTGGTCGAACTAAGAAAACAGTTAGATGAGCTTCTACAAGTCGGGTTCATCAAACCATCAAAGGTTTCTTTCGGAGCGCCAGTGCTATTTTAGAAAAAGCATGATGAAAGTTTACGATTATGTGTTGACTACAGGGCCCTAAACAAGGTCACCGTAAGAAAAAAATATTCCATCCCTCTTATAGTAGATTTGTTTGATCAATTGAATCGGGTCAAGTACTTTTCTAAATTGGACCTAAGATTTGGTTACCATCAGGTCAAAATCATTGAGGGAGATGAGCCAAAGATCACTTGTGTAACACGGTATGGTGCATTTGAATCTCTTGTTATGCCTTTTGGACTGACTAATGATCATGCCATATTTTGTACATTGATGAATCAGGTGTTTCATGATTATCTAGACAAATTTGTAGTCATCTATTTAGACGACATAGTGGTATATAGCTCTACATTGAAAGAACATCAAAAACCCCTGCGTCAGGTGCTTCGAAGGTTACAAGACAACCAGTTATAAGTGAAAAAGGAGAAGTGTGCATTTGTTCAGACCCAAATCCATTTTCTCGATCACATTATCGAACGTGGCCACATTCGAATGGATATGAAAAAGGTTAGGGCTATCAAGGAGTGGATAACACCAAAGAATGTTAGTGAGCTCTGTTCATTTTTGGGACTAGCCAACTATTATAGAAGGTTTGTGGAAAGGTACTCTCGTAAAATCACGGGCCTCATGGAGCTATTGAAGAAGGAGCATAAATAATGTTGGACGAGTGAGTGCCAAGAGGTCTTTGAGGGATTGAATAATGCTATTATGAAGGATCTCATCTTAGCTCTCTCTGATATTGAAAAACCTTTCAAAGTTCAGACGGATGCATCTGATTTTGCTATTGAAAAAGTGCTTTTACAACATCACCCGACAACATTTGAAAGTAGAAAGCTAAGCGAAGCTGAGAGGAAATATACGACCCAGGAAAGAGAGCTCGTGGCGGTAGTTCATTGCTTGAGGGCTTGGCGACATTATTTGTTGGGTTCACACTTTGTCGTGAAGACAGACAATGCTGTCCTTAGCCATTTTCTCACCCAACCAAGGTTTACGGAGAAACAAGCTAGGTGGCAAGAATTTTTAGTGGAATTCAACTTTTGTTTTGAGCACACCGCTAGAAAGACCAATCAAGTGGCTTATGAATTGAGTAGGCGAATAGATTTAGCAGCCTTTAGAAGAATTGCCCCAATGGCGGCTAGCAGAGCCACTATAGACATTCACAAGTTGATTGGAGATCATTTAGGGAAGAGCCCGCAAGTCTGTGCCATCCTGAAGCTAGTGGAAAAAGGAAAGTCCAAGTATTTCTGACAAGAAAATGGGCTCTTGTGGACCAAGGGGCCTTGAGTGTTTCTGTTAAGAGCAGGAGGTCTGAGACATATGTTAATGAGGGAATGTCATGACACACCATGGGTCGGACATCCAGGTTGACAACGTACTTTGACGTTATAAAACAGGGATACTATTGGCCTCACATGCGACAAGATGTGATGGACTATACGAAGACTTGCCTCATTTGTCAACAAAACAAAGTTGAAAAGAGGAAACCTGCAGGCATGCTTGAACCATTATCGGTACCCGTCAAATCGTGAGAAAGTATCTCGATTTCATTTCGAGCCTACTCAAGGTTGGTGATCTTGGAGTTATTTTGGTGGTG